GCAGAATTTTTTATTCATATGTTTTGTCTTTGTTTTTCATCCTGATAGAACAAAGGGTATAGGGGAAAAATTTGATACAAAGAAATGTTTGAATATTGAAAGTATTATTACAAATAGTTGCTTTAAGTTTGAGGATGATTTGAAAAAATAAATGCTCATTTAATTCTAATTATTTGTTGGTATTTTAAGCAAAAACACCCAAAGTTTTTTATACCTTTTTCCATTTGAAATAGTAATTCAACTCTACACTTCAAGATTCCTACTGTAGAACTTCTTGATAATGATGAGATTCACCCACTTACTGTGACGTTTCCGAAAGGCCGAGTTATCACAGGTTGTAGTAGTGGAGTTAATGAGGAGCTTCTGTGTCACCTCAGTTTCAGCTCATCGAAATCCATTTCATTTTTTGCCAGTCTTCTTTTTTGTGATGACAAAGATAACTGGTAAGTTATTTAAACTTGGATTCTTTTGCACTTGACATCCAAGGGTAATAGCTTTATATTCTATACCTTTGTAAAGTGATAGTGAGTGACATTGAATATAATGTGTTTGCACATAAATTTTTAAAGTTATGAGTATAATTTTGCTTTCATGATAAATAGAACAGTGGATCATAGGCATTTTTCTGTTATTACTTTGTTAACCTTACTCTATTATTACTTTGTTAACAGGCAATGTGGGCAAATGTTTTACAAGTAGTAAAGTAAAGCATGAGGCATTGAGGTTCAAGGTACTTTGTGAATTGATGGTGGTTTTAGTGTTTTAGCTTCATGGATTCTGGTAAAACAGAGCCTGTAAGCGAGGTTGAAGGGCAACAGTGTGATGATAGGATGATAGGAATTTATATTATACACAGGCTGCTTTTGAGAGCAGGTATATCTCATAGCATGTATACACTTCCCAAAGTATACGTAAAGATACTCTATTCTGTTTTTTTCTGCTATAAGTCATTTACCCCCTCAGATCTTTCTTTTCCCATTCACTCCCAATACTTTATCGCACACAAACATTTTAGGAACAAAGACACACCACGGCACATATACGCGTACACCCCCCCCAAACACGCTGTGTTTAACACAGTGATGATATTCATTGGAACGTTCTCTATAAGAATAATGGGGACTGTGGAGATGGCTTCATTACTAACGAGCTGTCATGAGAACCTCAGTTTGATATACAGCACCTCTTTGTGTGCTTATAATTCCAGGTTTGAAGGAGACCTCCAGGTTCAGTGAGATACCATGTCTCAAAAAATATGTATAGAGAGTAATTGTGAAAAATCTACCATGTAGAATGATAACCTCCATATTAAACCACATGTGTACACACACACACACACACACACACACACACACACACACACACCAGAAGGCCAGAAGGGCAGGAATATTATTCCTTTATTTTTATAGGTATGTTAAGGATTTTAGAAACTCATCTGATTTATCCATGGTTATAATGTAAATAAATTGTTTATTAAAATATTGATAGAAAGCATCTGTTACAAATTTAATCAACAGCTATGTATAGATTTATTAAGTAAAGTACCTTTTGAGGTTTCTGGAACATGTTTCTTGTATTGTTTCCAGGTCATGAAATTTTAGTTAGTTTCTCCTTTATGTACCAAAGGCATACAAAAAGCGATTTACTTTTTACTTATCTTAAGCAGATTTTGAGCTGTTAATTTCAGACTCTTCTTTCTACAATAATGAAACAGATTGAGAAATATCCATGTGGATAGCTTTATAGGAATTCCCATGCATAAGATAGATTTGTGGAAAGCATCTTAAATAATGTATTAAGAAAGAAAGATGATGATTGATGATAAGGATAATGAACTTACTTATATGGACAGCTATCCAGCAAAGGCGTCCTAAAAATGAAGTCATCGAATTTAACTGGAGCTGAATATAACAATGTGCTAATGATCAACTTAGCACACACAGTTCAAAGTCCATGGTGGTTTTGAATTAATCAACTTAAGTTTCCTGTTTGGCTACCTGAATCTCTTTAACATTGCTCTCAATTCTCTTTAATAATACTTTCAATTAATCTGTGCCATTTTGGGTAAGTACTTAGATATTCATTCAAGAGATATATCATGAATATTTATCATGTCTCAGATATTGTTCTAAGAATTTTATCTGGGATCAAGAACATGATCCCTGCCTACAGTGCTTAGATTCTAGTAGAGAAACAGATGGTTTGATGTAAACATATTAACTGGTAAATTTTTCTGGTATGTAATAAAATACAGATATCACTGGGAAAAAACACTAAAGGGAACAATAAGTTCTCAGGAAGTGCCAGGTAGGAAACAATTCTGTTGTAAAATAATGTCGTATAATGAAGATAGTATCTCAAGGTGGGAATATAGCTCAGTGGTAGAGTGTGCACCTAGTATCTGTGAGGCCGCATGTTTAATTACCAGCACCACAAGAAAAGGAAGAAAAGAAAAAGGAAAGAAAGAAAGAAAGAAAGAAAGAAAGAATGAAAGAAAGAAAAATGAAAGGAAGGAAGGAAGGAAGGAAAGAACAGAGGGTGGGATGAAGTGAGGGAGGGAGTGGAAAGAAGGAAGGGAGGGAAGGAGGGAAGGAAGGAGGGAAGGAAGGAAAGGTAGCTTCTCTTAAGACAAGACCTAAAGAAAAACACTTGAAAAGGAGGATCAGGTTACAATGTTAGAATGATAGCTAGGAATCTACTCTCAAGGCACAGAAAAGCTGTTGTGAGATCATTAAAATGGGTGCTTCTATAAAGAACTGTGTGTGGAATCATGAGCAAAATGTGTGGAATACAGGAAATATTGGAGAGATAACAGCTTCAACAGCATAGTATATGGGCTTTGAGACTCTTGTAAGGATTTTTACCCTGAATGAAATGAGGAGCCATTGCATGATTCTGAGTTTCTGATATAATGTAATATTTATTATCTTTGAAAACTGAGATCAGCTCCTTGTACCATATCATCAAAATAAAAACAGAAACAGAAAAAACCAAAACTTTGAAAAGTGCTTCCAGTGTATCTTTAAAATTCTCATCTATTATTTTTATTTTATGTGTATGAGTGTTTTGCCTACATGTATGTATATGTCCTACCTGCTTGCAATGCCTGTGGAGGTCAGAATAAGGTGTCAGATCCCCTAGAACTTGAATTATGGGGGGGGTGTTCTAACCACCATATGGGTGCTGGGGGGATTGAACCTGAGTTTGCTGCAAGATCAGCCAGTGCTCTTAATTGCTGAGCCATCTCTCCACGCACCTTCCAGTGTATCTATTCAGGTTTTATTGACTGATAACTATTTTCTTGGTTTTCTGGAGACAGTGATATGACAAGAAAACTCTTGTGCCTGTTACATGTCCATTGTAATAAAGGATACAGAGATGGATAATTAATATGCTATCATAATCTAACAAGGAAAATTAATGGATTTAGGGAGAAAGAATAAGAGGTACTTTCTGTATAGATATATATTACATTCCAGGGGATGCAATATTTGAGGAGGTGGTCATTGTAAAAGTAAAAGAGAAAATGCTTATAAAATATTTATAGTAATATCTAGCATTAATCAAAACAATATTATATGGTATTATAGTTGGTTTAATAATTAGTATCCTACTTTTCAAGAATGATTACAGTGGATACTATGCAGGTATGGACATTATTCTATTAATAGAATGACTGAGTAAAGATTCATCTTCCTGAGGCTGGAGAGATGGTTCAGTGGTTAAGAGCACTGGCTATTCTTGCAGAGGACCTGGGTTTGATTCCCAGCCCCCACATTGTAGCTAAAAACTTTCCATAACTTCATTTCCAGGGGAACCTGTAACCCTCTTCTGGCCTCCTTGCGCATTGCATGACGTGGGTGCACATAAACACATGAAGGCAATACACTCATATATATAAAATAAAAATAATAAAATCTTTAAAACAAAGATTCATTTTTCTCATACATAGAAGCTTTGCAAAAGAAGAACAGAAGTATCATGATCAGTAAATCATTTGTAATTGGAGATGAAGATTCCCTCAAATAATCTCCAAATTACTTACATTGTATTTCAGAATTGATATTTATCCTTAAGTTTGAAAATGTCTCTGTTCTATGAGAGCTTAGAATTCATAGAGCCATCACACAGTTTAAGTCATGCCAGAGATGTGAAATTGGTGGTTTCCATTCCAGGCTAAGAGGAAGCATAACATTTTGTAGAAAGTTGTAATTAAAATGATGTAGTGCTTCATGCTCTTACTGTGTTCATAAAGATAAAGTTTGTGGCTTGAATGCTTAATTCCACAAGAATTCTAACACCAAAGGAATCAAATTTTCCATGACTATCTTATAACCTAATATTTTTTGAAGAGTCAAAGATTGCTTCCGCATACATAGTTCTTGTAACCAAGGGTTAACCTCGGTTAACAGCTCCTTGCTGAATAAACAGTAAACATAAAGTGAAGCCTCAGTATTAGAATGAAGCATGCCAGAACTCTGATGTCTTCTATATATATTTTCTAACATTTTATTGATTCAAGAATTTCATAAAATATATTTTGATCATATTCAGGTGCCATTACCTGTCTCTACCACTACCTTAGTAACTTACCCAACTTCATGTCCTATATGATTATTTGTATTTTTGTAAAGACTTATTGAGTCTAATTTGTATTTCAAAAGTGTTTTTGGGTATGGATTTATCTCTTGGTGTCTGGTGAGCCCACCATTCATCTTACCACTAAGAAAAACTGACTCCTTGTCTCCCAGAATCTATCGATTGCCAATAGACCCTCAGCTAGGGCCAGGGTTTTCTGCCTCCCCCAATTCATGCTGGGCTACTTCCTGGCTTTGTTTGACACAGATCTTTTGTATTATCCTGTAAATGCTGTGCGTTCATATCACTGACTACCGTGTGGTTTCCAGACAGCATAGTTTCCTTGTATTCATCTACTTCCTCCAACGTTTACATTTTTTGTGCCCTCTCTACTGCAGTGATCCCAGAGCCTTGGGAGGAGAGGGTGAGATACACGTTTCCCATTTAGCGCTAAGCACTGTGTAGTCTCTTGTCTGTGCATGTTGACAAACTGTGGATCTCTATGTCAATCACTATCTACTGCAAGAAAAAGCTTCCCTGGTGAGAGTTGAGAGATGAACTAATCTATGTATATAACAAGGAATTAGTTTAATACTCTATTTAACAGAATGATAGTAGTAAGTTGTAACTTATGGTCTGTGACCTATTAGTCACAGATTATTGGCTGTGGTAACAGTATAAATTATGAACTGCATTTTGTGAAGCAAGAGTTAAATCTTATTAGAAGGTGGTTTCTTGCTCCCATAACATTCATGCCAGTATTGGTCCAGTAGCTATATTTTGCCAAGCCAGCTGTTACTGTACATTTCAGGGCTCACATCTGGGTAAGGTTAATGATTACAGTTCTCTGTAAGTGACATGCATA